AGCAATCTCCTGGGAAGAATCTGAGGTTAGCACAACAGGTGGTGTGTGTGACAGTTTGGGCCCAGCCACTGAATGCCTGTCCCTACACTGTGTCTCCAGATTCCTTCACCTTCCAACATGGAAGTTTTATGATTACATTTTAGAAATGTATAAGTTAGAGAACCTTGTATCTAAGGATGGATATGCCGCAGATGCAACCATATTTCTTCACACAACATATCATAAAAGACTAAAAGGCTGACAGACAAGGTTAATCTACAATATTGTATCTTCTATGCTCACCAACAACTTTTGGATCACTGTAACTCCTGAGTACTTTGCCCTAGTTTAATGACTCATGGATTATAAAAGATGTAACACACACAGTTATTCACCTGATGCTTATTTGTATATCCAATGACATGACCCTCTGAGCACCTTTCACCATAATGCTGATCTCACCAAAGGTTCAGCTCACATTAACTGGCATTTGGTTTTATTGGGCTGCATAGCTCTTGATGCCTTCCTCCCTCCTAATCCTTTGGCAAACACCACTGTCCTGGGTGCTGACACAGCGCAGCACTTAGCTTCTGCTTCTTTGGAGGGCTCCCTGCAGGACCTCAGATGAGGGCAAGAAAAGGCAATGCAAGCCCCATAAAGCAAGCACCGTCCTTCAGTCTGAATCCTTTTATCTTTCCTTTTTTTCATTTGTGCTAACGACTTGAAGCCAGGCCTTGCCCATGCTAAGCACAAGCTCTACCCGTGAGCTGAGCCCCCAGCCCCAGTCAGTGCTTTTTACACAGTTTCCTTTCTTTGGAGAAGTCTCCTGGCTCTTTCAACTTCACCTTTAGCCTCTGAGTTTTGTCCACATGCCTGGTAAACTTTAATCTCCTCAGGTTTTTTTCTCCAAATTTCCTGGAGAGTATGATTCCAGTTCTGAGAAAAAAAGGTCACTTCTGAGGAGGAGGGAGTTAGGTGCACGCAGGCTGTCATCCTAATTAGTTCCCAGGCTGGGCTAATTAGTTCAGCTGACTGCTTGAAAGAAACACCAGAGCGAGTTTTAAAAGGGGGACCCAGGTGGCTTCTACACTGTGAAGTGCTGCACACATCAGAGAGGAAACCAAGACAGGGTGCTGTGGAAATGGTTAAAAAAAAAAAAAAAAAAAGAGGAAGAAGATGCAGGAGGAGGAAGAAGAGGAGTGAGAGGAGGAAAAGAGAATCTAGATCATTCTCTACACAGAATCCACAAATAAGACACACCTAAAGGAACTAATGAATTTGAGAACTATAACAAGAACTTCTGGGCTAAGAGGAGGTGAGGAAAATGGCTACAAAGCATCAGGATTAAGAGACAAATGTGGGGCTGGGGCCATAGCTCAGTGGTAGAGTGCTTGCCTAGCATGCATGAGGCACTGAGTTCAATCCCCAGCACCACATAAAAATAAAGGCATTCTGTCCATTTACAACTACAAAAAAAAACAAAAAAAAAAAAAAAAGAAAGAAAGAAAAAAAAAAGACAAATGTGCTCTTAAAAAGGCTTTGAATAGAATCAACAAAAAACAAGTTATTTTGGCTAATTATCCAGTAGGGACAGTGGCTTTTTGTTTTACAGATGGGAAAATAAAACCTTTAGAGAGAAAGTGACTTGAATATTATCATACAGAAATAGGACTCCACTGTTCCAACTCTCAATTCCCTTTGCACCAAAATTCAAATGACATTCCATCTTTTATGTTCTATTGTTCTCCAAACTCAACCCTCTAGGATGTGGAAACTTTGATGCTGTTGGAAATTGCTTCTATCTGTCTAATGCCAACTTCTGTGCTAGGAGAAGTCTGAAGTTCAACCCCAAAACACAGGGCTTGGCATGGTCCAAAGCTCATTACAACTTCTCATTAGCTCTGTCTCCTGGGGCAGCTAAGGCATTCCTGAGTGTGACTCAGGACCACCAGTCAGAACTGGAGTTCCTGATGAATCTGAACTGAGCAGGATAAAGGCAATAATAAGGTCCAAGCCAACGAAGCAATACATTTTGCAAGAAGTAAAAAATTACATGAAAATTTCTTGAAACACCATCTTGGTATTAAACATAATAATACCTAAAACTTATTCAACACACATTATGTGCCAGGCACTATATTTGTACTTGACATTCATTAATTCATTTATTTTTCTTAAGATCCAATGAAGTACGTACTATTATTATTTCAATTTTAAAATAGGAAACTAACCCACAGAGATATTAACTAACTTGTTATGCTGGCTAGAAACAAGAATCACTCTAGAACAGGAAGACTATGTCAACTGAGACTCAGTATCCTGATTTTCAGAGCCATGAAAAGTTTCTCTAGATTAAAAATCACTTCATTGATCCAAATAACAAATGGAGTTCACTTCATAGTAATGTATCAATGATAGTTTCATAGGATGAAATGTCCCAGGGCGATGCAAGACATCAACAATGGGAAAAGCTGGGGGAGGGGCGCCTGGGAATCTACTGTTCTTATAACTTTCCTATAAATGTAAAATTAATGCAAATTTATTTAAAAAGCTTTTATTTGGATATTTCATAAAGGGAGTTTTTCACTGAGTCAGTTCAGATAGAAAACTATTCTTTTTTTCCCCTGAAAGTCAAAAAATATTTGAAAATATCTGTGGGGACTTGGTGAACACTTTACATTTAAGAGAGAGGACATTAAGGTCTCCGTTGGAGCTAACTGTGCTGGAGTTTTAAAGGCAAATTGGAAACTATTTCCTGGAACACCGCCTCACAGCATGCCTTTTGATACTTGGATTATATTTCTTAAATTCTGAAGAAATCTTTGCTTTTTCCCCCCTTCTGTGCATTTTTGATGCTGAGCTGTTTCCGGTTTTCCCACACTCCTGCCTGTCACAGAGAAGAAACCACAAAAATGCAGAAAAGCAAAGTTTGTCCAAAGAGCTGCGATTTCACCTCGGGAGGCTGAAGAGCTCTCCTGTGAGTGGGGGCGGGGGTGGGGGGCTGGAGGCAGGGACAGTGCCTTCAGAGGCAGCCATGCTTTAAGCCTCCTCTTCACAGCAGGCCAGCTAGCCACATGGGCCACTTGGGGCAGTGGCAACGAAGAGAGGATGCACTGAGAGCAACCAACTGGCAGATTCAACATGCACTTCTGAACCACTGCTTTAGCTGTGGCTCTGGGACCTGCAGGGCAGAGGGTGCCTTTAGCATGCAGCGGATGGTGACGACACTCTGGGTTCTCAGGTGAGCCAGGCCTTGCACTACTACTTACACGTATAAGGTTTTTACCAACTCACCTAGGAAGCAGATACTCTTATTGTCCCATTTTTATCAGTGGAAAAACTGAGGCCAAAACATTAAGTATCTTGCCAAAGATGTCAAATCAGTCAAGTGTGGAGTGGGGAAGGGAGCCAGGCTGTCTGCCCCTGCAGGCTGCACCCTTGAGGACTTTAGTCTTCTTTCTAGGTTGAGAGGACACGCAGCTTCCTTTCTGTCTTGACACTGGCATTCAACCACAAACTGCGGCCTCCCTACTGCCCTTTGCTACTGCTTCAGAGAGTTCTGCAGTCTTTAAAATGCAAGTTATTCCTAGGACAGGGCTTGGTACTTAGCAGGCGCTGAGTAAATATTTGTTGGATAAATGAATAATGGCAGCAATATGATTAAACAGCCGCAAAAGATTGTTTTCAATTCAAATCCAGAATTTGATTCACCCTCCAAAGAGGAAAAACAGTAACACATTTTTTTGTCCCAGGATTCTTTCCTACAACTAAAATTGAGCTTGTGGAGGACAAATGAACAGGAGCATTAATGAGAGCAAGAGAAAAGCACCACAACCTCAAGGTGTTCAGATGGTGAGAAATGCTAGTCCCTTCCAAGTATCTTTGAGAAGTCTCCTAGTGTTATGAACATGTGGGCTAGAACCAACGCCATGTACCTGTCTGCTTCCCCAGATGAAGAAGGGTTGGAGGTGGAATGAAGGATGATGATGACCTACAACAATTTAATTCAGGCATGGAAATTTTTTTTTTTTTTTTTTTATAAAATGGGAAAAAAACATACAAGGTACTAGAAATATTGTCGCTACCCAGTTTGTTCAATAATGCCAGTGAAATCTCAATCCTTCGTCTTCCCATTCAAATGCTCAAACATGAACAAACAAGTGGGGCGGGGGGAAGGCATTGGCTTTTTTTTTTAAATAAAAAAAATTTTTTTGGTACCGGGGATTGAACTCAGGGGCACTTGACCACTGAGCCACATCCTCAGGCCAATTTTGTATTTTATTTAGTGTCAGGGTCTCACTGAGTTGCATAGCATCTCGCTGTTGCTGAGGCTGGTTTTGAACTTGCAGTCCTCCTGTCTCAGCCTCCTGAGCCACTGGGATTACAGGCATGTGCCACTGCACCCAGTAGGCGTTGATTTTTTTTTTATGAAATTGAAATATGATATGATTGAGTAGAATGACTAGGAGAAGATGCAACAAGGAAGAAGTTTTCATTTCCTTTCTCCAAGCCCACAGTTCAGGACTCTTACCTGGGGCACTGACTATAGCTCCTGCCAGAGGCCAGCAGAGTTGGTTGGCAATGATCTTGAACTGTATAGGGAGCTCTCACCATAATCACCCAGGGAGGCTAAAAAATCAGGGGCTACTCCTCTCAGCCAGGGCACAGCCCAGCCATTGGCATGCTTTAATTATTTGTACCTAGTCTTTACTCTCCATCGGGTGTTCTTGTGACCCCCACCATTGAGAATTGAGCCCAGGGTGCTTTGCCACTGAGCTATATTACCTAGCCCTTTCTATTTTTTAATTTTCAGACAAGGTCTTAATAAATTGCCAAGGGTGGCCTTGAACTTGGAATCCTCTTGCATTCGCCCCTAGAGCTGCTAGGATTATAGATGTGGGCCACCACACCCAGCTGGTATTCTTGTTCAATACCTTATGGAAGGTTCCAGAGGTTAAAAGTACAATTAGCTTAAAATTGACATAACTTAGAAGAAACTGAAAAGTTTACAGTGAACTTACTTTGAAGCCCTCTGGGATGTGGCCTTTCTGAGCACTTGTTTATGATTAGATGGGGGTTTGGGGACCAGGGAGGAGGAAGAACTTGGAGGTGGCACCACTTTTTGTGGCAGAGTGGTTGGCTTCTGGCCACTAGGTGTGGCACTTGAAATTCTGCAGCCTGCACCGTTATTCATTGTCCATAAATTGGAGTTAGGTAGTGTCTGGCTGCCAAAGATCGCCTACAAGAAAAAGAAAAAAAAAAAAAAATGATCGATGGAGATCCCTTTCCCCCGCCACTTGCTGCATATAACTGCTGTAATCCTGAAGGAGGGCAAAGAGAAAAGGGGAATTGTTAAGTCATTTTTGAGGACAAACTTCCTCAGGGCTGTCAGTGCAGGTCCAGGTTCAGATAAGAGGAGTCTCCTGAAGCAGAGCTGAGGTGCTCTTGGGAGCACCAGGGCTAGGAATCCGGACACCCAGTACGAGGTGTTGGTCCCTATTCCAGATAATTCTACTGAAAAGCATTGGGTCTCTCATCTTGGCTTCCTTCATTGTTACAGTCAACAGATTTTTGAACGAATGTCTCCTGCTGAGGACCGAGTGCTAGAATTTTGATTCCAGCCTCCTCAGAACTCTGAAGGTTCCCGTGTTGGAGGAGAGGGAAGAAGCCCGTGTAGCCATGAGCGACCAGAGTGCAGAGATGAGGCCCAGAGCCAGACCACGCAGGGCTTTGAGCGCTATTCTTAGAATTTTAGCACAGTAACACCCTGTTGACCTAAGGATTAACACAAGATTTTTACATTTGAAAATGCTTTCAAAGTTAAAATTACAACATGAATACAATTCAATTCGCATCTGGTATTCAACAGGAGGGTGTTTTTGCTGGAGGGGAGGCCTATAAAGACCTGAAAACACTTCTAGACATCACAGATGTCTGCAGGATGCGCAAGTATACTTTCTTCAAGTAGGTGCTTAAAGAATTCTTACAACTTATTGACCTCATTAGAAATAGATTTTTTTTTGGTGTGTGTCATAAGTTTTGTTATTGGTCCTTCAATACTATTAATACTACCATCAATGCACATGAATTACAAAAACTTTTAATGTGAAGTCATAGTAAGAGAAAAATAATGTAATTGACAAAATACATGGCACTTTTTATTCATTTATTTTTTTGGGGGGGTGTACTGGGAATTAAAGTTGGAGGCACTCAACCACTGAGGCACATCCCCAGCCCTATTTTGTATTTTATTTAGAGATGGTCTCACTGAGTTACTTTGGGCCTCACCATTGCTGAGGCTGGCTTTGAACTAAGGATCTTCCTGTCTCAGCCTCCCCAGCTGCTGAGATTACAGGCATGTGCCACCACGCCAGGCCTACATAGCACTTTTGTGAAAAAAATATCCTAAAATTCCCATTGAGCTGTAGATACAACACGAAAAGAGAGATGGGAGAAGTCACTTTGGCATGGCCAAGCTTGATGGAGAATGACAAGATGATCTTAGGACACATTCACCTTCCAGACAGACCTCACCCATATTATTTTTGACCTTTATGAATTTTGTTAAAAATTCAGATTTAAAAGATGAGCTGGGTAGCTTTAGAAACATGTCAACAACCCTTCTCTGCTCATGCCTTGGGAGTCCCACTTCTGGGAAATGAGTTCAAAAGCCTGGCCTGGCAGGTCAGAGTGGTCTTGCATGCAGTGAATGTGTTTGACTGAAACACTTGACTCAGATCAAAGAGGTTTCAGAGGGAGAGGATCTGAACATTTTCAAACTGATCAATTGGACTGATGTGCCTTTACAAACTGACCCAACGAAGAGAAGAAAGGAAGACTCAAGGCCATGGGCCAGACCAGGAGGGCAGTGCTATCACATGTGTGTCCATGAGAAGCCCTCCCATGGTGCCCTCCCATGGGGCCAGAGGGCCAGGGAGCCCAGCTGCTCCAGCCAGCCTTCTTGAGGGAAGGGGCCAATTCTTCCAGTTCCACAAAGGTTTTCAAACAAACCTTCTTTTCAACTGCTGTTTCCATATCTGAGGGCCTCAAACTGTGTGGGAGAGGCTCAGTTGGAGGAGGGAGGCAAAACCTAGGCTGCTGTTTTCACCACAACATCCTAAAAAGTGGGCTCAGCTATGAAGAGTGTGTGGGTGATGCCTCATTCAAGATGGGAGGAGACTCAGGTGGGGACCTAAGAAATTGGAATGAGGGCCACACTGAGCTGTCTATAAATAACTTCAATGGATAAGTAATAAAGAAGGAAAAACTAGTAATAAAGAGCTCTTGGAAATAAAAATATTCTTTAATGAGTTATATTTTAATGTCATAGGAGAACTGCCATCAGTAAGAACATCTATTCAACAAATGTTCCCATGCTTACACCAACCATATTCCCAAATTTATTTTCCAAATTCATCAAGTTTTTCTTTTTTCCAATACTTTTTTTAGGTCATCTAAATACAACTAAAAGAATAAATGAAAAGAGCAAGTTCAGAACAGGGAGTATAATAAGCCCCTATTTGTGTAAAAAAAAAAAGAAGTGTATAAATAAACACACATACACAAAGTTAATATTGCACAGAACAATTCTGGAAGGATATTCAAAAAGTTGACAATGTCCATGAAAAAAGAACTGGTTAGCTATGTGCCAAGGTAAGAAGGGCATTAACTTCACTACTATTTTTAAAATTTTGTGTGCAGTTATTACACAAATAAATAAATTATTAAAAAGTCAAGTTCTAATAACATTTAAGTAACAAATTAGCTCTGAATATAAGTGACAATATTCACAGGAAGCCCAGTTTCAACCAGCCAGGCACATACTCCCTGTCAGACTGGCTACAAGAGAGAACTGACTGCTCATAGCTGGCTTTGGAACTAGATTAGGTCATCAATGAACGGCAGAGAGACGAGGCTGAGGGAAAAAAGCATGGCGTTTCAGTTAACCGCGGGGCTCAAATATCAGCTCTGTTACTCACAAAGTGGGTTATCTCTTCAAGTTCCTTAACTTCTCTGCACTTTGGCTTCCTCATAAGCAATTATATAACGACTTTGCTGGATTGCTGGAGATTAAATGAAGATTACCTACGTAATTAATAAGGGTTTCTTAAGATAAATCAAAATACTTGGCAAATGCTCCACCTTCATTCCCTACTGCAGTTTATCAGGGGTTAGGGATGACATGAAAGCCTACCTATCAGTAATCATTTGTGAATGGTAGTTAGTTATGCATATTTTCAACATATTTTTCTAGTCTTATGATGATGCTCACTAGCTGTGAAAGCAAACTCTTAAAATGAAAACGTATGTTTAGGTTCCCAGATCATATTTATTCAATTCTCTCTGGCCGAAATAATCTTTTCCTCTTCTGAATGCTTATATTTTATTCGTATGTCTTATTCTAACTGGTATTGTATTCGGTCTGGTATTATAGCCACTTATCCATGTACTTTTCCCCTTTTCTGGACAATACGCACAGGAAATAGCTATATTTTATAGGGTTATTGATTTTGGTTTCACCCACAGTGGTTTGTATAACGCTCAGGTGCTTAACACAATTTATTCCAGGAAGGGGCAAAACAAAACAGTACACCAACTATTTATCTTTTTTTTTTTTTTTTTTTTTTTAAGCAACAGGTGAATTCCTCTACACCTAAATAGGGAAATGTGTATATGCATGGAAATGCAATCGTGTAATAAGACCATTCTCTGAATTTATATAGTACCTAGTGTGCTGTCTGTGTCCAAAACATAAATAAGCCCTCTTAAGATCCCCTCAAAATAAATTCATCTTCTTAGATGCAAATTTTGGGGTAGGACTTGACACAGTGATGTTCTATGTAAGGTCAGATGTCTCTTTAAACAACAAAAAACTTATTGCTTAGGAGACTGCCACCTGCCTGGATATCATCACTTTTCCCTTCCTAAAATACTGTTCTGATTCTGTCTGGATAATAATGTGTGTTTAGCTTCACACCCCCTGCCCCGCCCCCATGGCAGGGGGACACAATTCTGGTCAATGAGGTATAAACAGAAGTTCCTGGGTGTGGATTTTAAGAAAGTTTTGGCAGTTCTTCCCACTAGCTAGCTAGAGTTAGATAGGCACAGGGTTAAGATCCTAGGGGACAGAGACAGAAGAAACATGAGTTTCAGACGGCACCATGGTGTATGGGGGAAAAAACCCTCTCTAACCAGAGCGTGCGTGAGTGCGTGCGTGTGTGTGTGTGTGTGTGTGTGTGTGTGTGTGTGTTACCTGCAGCCAAGTGGAATCCTGATATGAGAACTAATTCTCAATCTACCACTGTCAGGCTTGTTTAAGCCTCAGCAGGCATGAATTGCATCTCAAAGCAAGTTCTCTTACCAAATACAGTAAAAAGCATCTAGATTGTGCCTTATGGTTTGGTGGCCATGCTGGAATACACCGAATGGACAACAAAGGAATCACAGCTGAATTCCATCTGAAACTGAAGAGTCAGAAATGAAGACAAGTCCCCAGGTGTCTCACCAAAGCGAAGGTTAATTGGGGTGGGATTGAAGCAATCAAATATGATAAGAAGCAGCTCAGGAAAACACTCAGGCAATATTAAAAGCAGATATGTAAGTGGGTGTATTTAGACTGGTTTCCCAGACTCCTCATACCCTGTTATTGGCCTCAACCCTGACACTCCACCAGCTAAAGATCATGTGAACTGTTTTGTCCCGATTCTTGAAAGGACAGAATTATATGATGTTCTCTGTATAACTTCTAAGAAATGTGAGGACTGAATAGGCAATGACCACAACACAGGGACACAGCTGTACTGTCACCACTCAGTGTCCTGGGAAAGGGAGCTGGATGAGCACTGGCCTCTACTTAAGACCTGATCTACATATGCGGACTCTGGCTGCTCTGCTGGTGTGGGAAAGCCGCAGGACAGGGAGGAGACTCAGCACCAGTCAGGAGGGTTGGCCTGGCCCCAGGCAAAGACTGGAAAGGCCCTCCCCTGGCCTCAGAGGGGTGCTCGTGGGTGGGAAGGAGGAATTTCTGATAGACAGAACACAGACTGCAACTTGGAAGGTTACAAGGAAGCAAGATCTGGGCTCTCCAACTAGAAAGATAATACTATGCAGAGATTAAATTCTGGAAGTTTTTTTTTTCTCCTAATTCCTTCCAGAAAAACACTCCTTTTAGCCTTCACTTAGGCTTATTGGTGATGGAGCAGAGTTGGTTAACTCTTTAATAAAATAACTGTAAATTCC